TGCTATATCTATATATTAATGATACTGCTTAATCACTTGAAGCCTACTTTCCACTTTTCCCATCGGGAATTACCTCAGGATATGAAATACGTAATTTAGCGGACGGTGCTTATTTACCCTTGATGACCTAGTGTCGAAAACGTTTGGTTTTTACTTTTGAAATAAATTTTTGGTTTCTAAATAGCTTTTTTTTTAAACCTATGCTAAGATTGAAAGGTTTTAAAATAATTTTTTCTTTGGGTTTCTGTCTGTTTGCTCTTAAGGTCATATTTCAGATTATTAAAAACTGGATCATTGGATAATGCAATTTAAGACTTTTCTTTGGCNCGTCCCTAGGCCCCAGACCCCACCAATTCTCCCGTCCCCCTTCCCTCACTCGAACTGGCCCTGAATTTCCTTGAATAACCTCTTCGACGGGCAGCGTCAAGGATCTTTAATAAAATAAATGCTGGAAAATAAACTATCTGGAACTCTGCTTTTAGGCTTTGCTATATCTATATATTAATGATACTGCTTAATCACTTGAAGCCTACTTTCCACTTTTCCCATCGGGAATTACCTCAGGATATGAAATACGTAATTTAGCGGACGGTGCTTATTTACCCTTGATGACCTAGTGTCGAAAACGTTTGGTTTTTACTTTTGAAATAAATTTTTGGTTTCTAAATAGCTTTTTTTTTAAACCTATGCTAAGATTGAAAGGTTTTAAAATAATTTTTTCTTTGGGTTTCTGTCTGTTTGCTCTCAAGGTCATATTTCAGATTATTAAAAACTGGATCATTGGATAATGCAATTTAAGACTTTTCTTTGGCTTAGCCATTATGATATATGAGCCAATATACCTTAATCTAATATCTGTACATTGTAACATCCGGTTTCTTATTACAAAATAAAGTCAAGAAGATTGTTCTAATATCTTGGGGGCGTTTTTTAATAAAACAATTATTCCACTCGCGCTTGTTGGATATGAGATGATTATAGCCAACTCGGCGCTAAGTGCCTCGTTGGCTACCTATCATTTCATATCCAACGCGCGCTCGTGAAATAATTGTTAAGTATCGGGTGGGAATGAACATGTGATTTGCTAATAACCGGATCCCTCTGCTATGCGCAAAAGGTTCTGGGATCGCCACGCGCGGGGCAAACATTACAAGTTGCTACAAAGAAATATATAGCTGAAAGTTGTTTTGACGTAGAAAATAACGCTTCTGGAGAGAATTCAGAGCATTTCTACAGCCGCCATTTATCAGGAAAGGATGAGCAATGCTGATTCAAGGGATACGCAAGTGTTTGATCAACTAACCATGAAATAAGTAAAATTTACAATTAAGTTCTCTCCTTGCGTAAGGTTTATTGTGAAATCGACATCTCGTAATGGTCTCGAAATATCCCGGAGTAAGGGGTAAATCAGAAGAAATTACTCAATAAAGAGTTGCAGTTGTAAAAAATAGAAAATTCCCTTTCTAAGGCACATTACGCCACATTTTCTCTTCCTCAAAAACAATAGAAGGACTCAGTCGGGGCGTAACTTCAGTCGCCTTCCTAACACTGAGGGCAAGTTTTAGGATGAATTTCGTGATATAATTGCGCATTCTCGATGTATAAATCATTACGCTAATCAGTCTCTTTGTGTGTCGTCAAGAAACTTGGATTTTAATGTAGGTATATAACAAGGCTAACCACTATATAGATGAATGTTTGTGATAAATGTCCGTTAGGCAAACTGAATCTTTCTTGACAAGACAAGAAAGATGGTGACATTTTGTCGGTTTCTGATCGATGTCCCTTGTTAGTCAGATGGACCTGAGGTATCTTATACACTTTTTAACTTCAGTCACAGCAGAAATAAATATCTTAGCCAAATACCGAGACAATCGCTTTCCAAGCTTTTTGCACAGTAAAAGAAATATCTCTCAAAGTATAACTTAAAATAGAGGCAAAGGGTTGCATTGAAGACCATTTAGAGAGTTTTAAGACTAAGAAAAGTATATACTGCGAAAATTTTCAAAAGTCTTCAGCTGCCATTATTCCTGCGTCATGACTTACGACTTCTTCCAACATGATGTCCACCATAGCTTGTGGTATATTTTGGAAGACGTTAAGAAGAAATCAAAATACAATGTCTTATATATTGAGAAGAAAATGCAAAGAATACGCCTTTATCTGCTGTCAATAAACGAGTTTTGTCTCAGATTATAGGCAATTTTATGTACAGAAATCTAATTGCATGTGAAATTTAAGTCTTTCTCTGCGTTTGGTACGAGGTTATGGAACTGCCTAAACTGTCGGGGATTTCTTTCGGCCCCGCACGCTGGTACACTCAACAATCTAGAGGACTGTATACTTTTCTATTTCTACGGTTCTTACAATCCAACGATCTAACTTCAATCTCGTTCACGATCAGACGAACTAACTAGCAATCCTACATTTACAGACGTTTTCTGCCAGACAAGGCAGTAATTTTTCAGGAATCACGTGTACGAGTTCACAATGATTTAACGCACCTAATTTAAGCTATTATTACAAAATATCACGTTCTTTCTCTTTATTTGGTTCAGTAAACACACTACGGACTTTGGTCACTGATTGCGAAATATCGAGGCTATTCTTATGCGTTACAAGGTTCATGTTGCAACATAGTCATGTGTCTTTCTACTTAATATTCAATTTCAATAGTAATCAACGAATTTCTTTTCCGCCATAAACCCTGACTTGCGTAAGCTGACAAAAAGAGCATTTAAAAGGAAAATTCATAAGTTGCTTTTGACTATACTCGGGGTTGAGGACTATTATGTTGACGCCGATTCACTAATATTTAAATTCAATACCGCCTCCCGGTTAGCTCAATGGATGGAGCGCTGGTACGTTGTGCGGGAGGTCGAGGGTTTGAGCCCCGAACGGACCAACACTCAGGGTCTTAAAATAATTGAGAAGAATTTGCTACCTTTCTATAACATCAAGAAATGGTTAGATATTCTAGTCTTCTCGGATAGGGACGAATAAATGGAGGTCCCGTCTCCTGCAGGGTTGGGGTAGGAGACGTTAATTTCCCACACACGAGATTACTGTGTGATGGATGTCCTCCCCTGGGGTGGGATGGGTGGGATATAGGGCGCACTTAATTTGGAGCCTCGCTCTGTTGTGCGACCCTCACCACACTCTGGTGAAAGTGATTAAATAAATAAATAAA